GGACACTCAGTACTCTGGGTGATAGACACTCGGTGTGGGTGATGGACACTCGGTGTGGGTGATGGACACTCAGTGTGGGTGATGGACACTCAGTACTGTGGGTGATGGACACTGGGTGTGGGTGATGGACACTCGGTGTGGGTGATGGACACTCAGTGTGGGTGATGGACACTCAGTACTGTGGGTGATGGACACTCGGTGTGGGTGATGGACACTCAGTACTGTGGGTGATGGACACTCGGTGTGGGTGATGGACACTCAGTACCGTGGGTGAAGCAGATGCACTGACCCCGCTGAGTAGGGTGTCCTGCCCCTCTTCCCGCCTGGCCCTGCCTGTCCTTCCCAGCCCCTGTGGCTGTGTGGTGGCCTCAGTGGACACAGGCTGTCCTGCATCACCCACCCCCAGTTCTCCTGCACTCCACCTGCATCTATCCTCAATGAGCCAGCAGAGCAGGACTCGGTCCCTGGGAGCAGAGCCCACGGGAGGCGCTCAGAGGCCGCTTCCTGGTGCCCAGTGAGGCCAACAGCTAGGGACAGCCCCTGTGGCTGCCCTGGCTGGGGTCCCGCCCTGCCAGGGCCCTGTGCTGCCCAGGGGAGGGCCGGTGGTCCCTGGCGCTCAGCCCCATGCTGTCCTGCAGGCGGAGCACTGGGGCCCCTTTGACCTGGTATATGGCTCAACTCCTCCGCTCGGCCACGCCAGTCCACGATCGCCGGGTAAGAGACGCTTGGAGGAAGGGGCTATGGGCACTACCATGGCCCATTTGCCCTCACCCCCTCAGGGGACTCACCTACAGTTAACAAATGGCTACGGGAGCGAAGGGGTACCCCCTTCCTAGACCCCTGCCCACTCATGCTGTCACTCTTTTTTTCACACTTGGCCCATGCTGCTTGGGGAGTCAGTTAGAGCAACTTGACCTCCAGGGCTTAGGGGCCAGTAGGAGCAAAACCGTGGTGGGTCAGGTGTGGGTCCAGACCCAGGACACACCCCACTCCAGCAACTGCCTCAAGCCCCTCCCACAGTGACCCTAGAGCGCCAAGCCCCTCCCACAGTGGCCCCAGCCCCTCCCACAGTGGCCCCAGCCCCTCCCACAGTGGCCCCAGTCCCTCCCACACAGTGCCCCTCCCCCCAGGCTGGTACCTGTTCCAGTTCCATCGCATGCTGCAGTATGCACAGCCCCCTGCGAGCACACAGCGGCCCTTCTTCTGGATGTTCGTGGACAATCTGCTGCTGACCAGGGATGACCTGGTCACGGCGACCCGCTTCTTGGAGGTGCGTGCTGAGCCTTGGGGACTTCAGGGGGGCAGCCTTGGAGGGCCACCCCTTCACGGAGAACCCCCACTCCTCTTAGCCTGTGTTCCGTGTGCCCCTAGGTTAGCAGGTGTCTTAGATGCAATCCATAGCCCAAAAGCTCTGAACACGATCTTTGCAGTGTTCAACAAAGTAGCCTCAGGCCCTGTCCTCTCTTGGAGCCTGTGGCCCTCCTCCTCAGGACATGCGAGGGGCACGCCCAGAGCAACTGGGCTGGGCCTCAGGGACGTCCCGGAACCGGGCAGCACCGGGCAGCCTACAGATGGCCACACGGTGCCAGCGTCCCACCCCAGCCAACACGGCAAGGCTCCAGGCTGAGCGGCAGCACCAGTGAGTCTCCCACCCACAGGTAGAGCCGGCAACCCTGCAGGACGTTCGTGGCCGCGTCCTCCAGGGCGCCATGCGCGTCTGGAGCAACATCCCGGCCGTGAACAGGTACCCCACAGGTGTCGGGGTGGGCGGCCTCCGGGCCAGGAGCCGGTGGCCAACATCCCCTCAGGCCTTCCTCCTGCCTGTCCCCCACATGCCTCCCTGGTCCTCGGCGCCCACACCTCCGGGCTCAGGGTCAGCCTGGGCCTCACCGCAAAGCTCTCCGCGTGGCCTGCACACGCCACATGGCACTCACACACACACAAGTGTCGGAACAAACGTTGCCTGCCTTTCCTGAGACAACTAAGTCCTGTCTTTTCCTGCCTGAGTGAATTTCCCGAAACTTCTTCCCACTCCACATTCCGGGTTGCAGCCTTCTGCTGGCTCACGGCCCTGTTAACGTCCCAGGCCTGGAGCCTGTGGTGGCAGCCCTCACCTGGCCACTCCCAGGTCCATGCTGAGGCAGCAAGCTGACCAGGCCGCTGCCTTGACTGGGGCACATCTGCAAAACCCCACGGGTGACTTGAGGTCATCTGGCACTCACTACAGAAGGCAGAGCAACCGCCCCCCGGGCTGGACCAAGCCGCGGCCGGGAGCAGGTCCTCCGTGGGAGTGAGACCTAAGCACCATGAGCCACTTCCCAGGGGCTACCTGGCCTGGGGGTCACTGCTGGTCGCTCCGCAGCAGGCCCATCTCCCCGGGAAGGGGGCAGCGTGGGCGCCTCTGGCCCCCATGGGGTGGGGAGAGCTCTTGGGGGCCCCTCCCAGCGTTCCTGCCTGGCGGGTGCGTCTCCCAACCCTTCTGTCCCCTGCAGCAGGCACGCGGAGCTGGCTCCGGAGGAGGAGACGGCCCTGCTGGCTCAGGGCTGTCGGCGAGCAAAGGCCTCTGGCGAGGGGCTGGCCAGGCTGCTGAAGAGCTGCTTCCTCCCGCTCAGAGAATATTTCAAGTGTTTTCCCCAGAGCCCACTTCCTCTCCACAAATGAGTCAGCTGCATGAGAAGACCTTTCCTCGAGCAAGGACTCGGCCCCCACTTCCCTCCTCGGACCCCCGTCCTCCTGCGGCTGCCACGGATCTGTCCCAGTGGCTCCTGGGGCTGCAGGTCCCGCCCCCTCCCCAGGGGCTGGTGGGCATGGGCTGGACCCCCAGAAGCATTACTGCCTTCCCTTGCAAAGTTAAAAGACCCTGTGATCCAGCCGCTGTGGGTTGCGTCCTTCCTACATGGGGTGGACGGGAGGGCTGGGTGGGACAGGTGTGTGCTGTTGTAGACAGCCCAAACACAGGCAGCAGGGGGATACGGACCAGCACAGCGCGTTGGGGAGGACACGGCCGGAGCCAACGGCAGGCTCTCTGCTGTCTGGGTTCCTGGAATGCAGGGCACTGATACAGCCCATCAGTCACACCTGGAAACAAGAAAGCACGGCTGTCGGGCGCCCGCCGAGATGGCAGCTCAGGCCCTGCCCCTCGGCACTGGGCAGCGGGCAGGGCAGGATGGACCTCCGTGTCCCTTAGGCAGACCGGAGCATCCCTGCTGGAGGACAAGGTTGGGCTCCTGCAGCACGGGGTGAATGTGCCCGCCTCTGTAGAGACACTGGGGTTACAGAAACCGTGGGACCCTGCCAGCGAGACCACTGGCCCCCCGGAGAGGCTGTGGCCATCTGACTGCACCATGAACTTTCCATGCCACCAAGGTGCCTGCCCTCAGACCCCCACGTGCGGTCTGTGAAGGTCCCACTCCCCACAGTGGGCAGAGCTGCCGCCAAGCCCCCACTAGAGGGAGGCAGAGCGCTGGCCACGCCAGAGGACAGACCACATGGGCACACAGTGGCTGGGTCGCAAGCCAGAGGACACTGCCAGCAGGGTTGCCAGAAGCGAAGTGAGAAGGGAGTCTGCCCCACAACCTGGTGAGCATGGACTCGGGCTTCTGGTCTACCGAGACAGCAAGTCAAGCTACCCAGTGTGGGGACAGTAGTTACAGCACCCAGAGGCTGGTGTGGGGTACTCTGTGGCAGCACCCACAGGCTGGTGCAGGGTGCCCAGATTCAGTGCTCACAGGATGACATTCCCCCTGCAGCATTTGGGACCAGGCCCACCCGTGGGGCGCCCCGCTTCTTGCCGCCCTGGGATCTTATTGTGGGCTTGGGGGCAGAGCGCGCAGCGGGGGAGGGAGGGGCGTGCCAATCAGCACAGTGCAGAGCCAGGGGTGGGTGGTCGTGATAACCGCAGAGGCGGGCACTGCCCCTGGGCCTGTCCAATCAGAGTGCGCCTAGGGAGCTGCCCCTTCTAGCGCAGTTCACCTGCTCTGTAGTCTGGAGGTGGGTGCTGGGTGTGCAGAGGTGGGAGTCCGGGGATAGCCGTGGGGTCCAGGATTGAGCCGTACCTGCGATTTACGGCGTGTGCACCCTAGGAGCCCACAGGGGCCTGGCCAGTGCCTGATGCTGCCCAGTGCTGTTAGTGCCCAGCCTCCGGGGCCACAGGGCGGCCCTGGCATGGACTGTGAATGCCCTCGGTCCGCAGACGGGGTCCCTCATGAGCTTCATCCCGGCTCCCACAGGTGCCGCCTCTGAGGGGGGAGGCCCTGCCCTTCCTGACCCCTCACCTCGGTGACACCCGCCTGGCAGAAGTCCCAGAGGGGAGGCCAAGGGAGGGGACTGGGCTGATGGGGAGGGACTCCGTGGGATGCTGGGTCAGAAATGGAAGAGCGAGTAAGCCTGCAGGAGCAGGTGGATCCGCTGTCCAGGCTGCCGGCTTTTACAAAAGTGACACGCAGCGTAGGCAGCTGGTCCAGTCGCCTGGCCAAGCAGAGCCGTACAAAGAGGGCAGCCCAGTAACTGGTTTCCCACCTGCCTGGGGACCTCTGCTCCCAGCTTCAACCTGGCCCAGCCCAGCCATCGCGGCCACCTCTCTCTCTGACCCTGAATCTTTCCCTCTTGAAGAGGCCGTGCTGCGGACGGTCCACCCCCAAAGGCCAGGGCAGCAGAGCGGCCTCCCCGCCCCAGGGCCTGGGATCCAGAGCCCACAGCCCCGGCTTGGACCCGTGAGTCACGCTCAGGGAGCGGCGGCTGGTCGGGGCGAGGGGCATTCCGGGCGACTGGGGACGTAGACGGGGCTCGCCGCGCCCGCCTTCCCGCGGCGCCCCTGGCCGCCAGGCCGTCCCTGCAGCCCGCGGTGCCCAGCTGGGGGGACCCGGCCAGCTTCGGCAGAGCCCGCCTCCGGCCCGGGACAGTCACGGTCAGGAGAGGGGCGTGCCCGGCGTCACGTGGCCTGGAGAGGCGGGCACCGGCGAGTTCTCCCTGGCTCAGTCGCTGCGCTGCGCTGCCCGGACGCGTCCCGCGGCCACGGCTCTGCGCGCTCAGGGCCCTCGCGCCGAGCTCCCGGGGCCCCGCGGACGGAGGTCTTGGCCGTCACCATGAGGCTGCGAAGGTGGGACGTGCGTGCCTGATGCGGGTTCGCGGGCAGGACGCGGGCGCGGCTGGCCGGAGCGGGGTGGCCGGCCCGGAGTGGGGCCGAGGGCGGCACCCGCCTTCCCTCCGCTCACCTGGCGATGCGGGAGGCGCGCGGAGGATCTGGCGCTGTCTCCTGTCGGCCTGGGCGCGCGGGGTCGGGGCTGGAACTTTGGCACGGGCGGCAGCGCGTGGGCGTTCCTGGGGTGAGGTCAGGCGCAAGCTGGCGGCGGGGGGCCTTGGACACCCACGCCCTGGGCCGGCGCTCTGCGTCCCGCTCTGGGACTGGCTGATACCCAGAAATCCGAGTGTGGTGGGCAGGGACACGTCCAGGGACCCCCCACACACACACACGCACGGGCACGGGCACCCGGCCTGGCCGCCCCGGGGCTTGGGGCGATGACAGCCTGACGCCTTCGGGCCAGCGCCGCCTCTCGGTGTCCACACTCCCACGCTGTCACTGTGCCGCCCGCGGCCCCAATAGAAATGTGCGCGCGGTTAGGCGCTCACCTGGTGCACACGTCCCCACAGTCCCCGCCAGCCACCTGCCCCAAGGGCCAGAGAGGGGTTGGAGTCGGGCGGGCTGCGTTAGAACGCAGACGGTGGATGGCATGAGAAGGCCACCTGGTTGGCACGGGCGGGCAGGCGGGGCTCCCGAGCGCATCTCCCCACCCCTAGGAAAGCCCCCAGGTGTCTCGGAGGGGCCCCACAAACGGAGGGGGCGGGGGTGGGAGTGGGGAAGCCTGGGCCCCGGGTTCACTACACCCTTGTCCCTCATCAGTCCGCAGCGCCCAGAGGTGCTGCCACCACAGACGAGTAAAAAGGCACGGATGCCACAGGGGTTGGGGGTCTGGTGGCTCCTGAGGTTGCCCAAGCAGGTGCTGGAAGACAGGAAGGGGGGCAGTGGCGCCAGGCGCCCTGTGCAGCGGGGGGTGCGGCAGACGCCCCAGCTTGAGGGAGCGAGGCTGGGCATCCGGCAGTGGCCAGGCCCCGGGTGGGCGGTGCTGAGGGTCCCCGGCAGAAGGGGCCGGCGCCACGGGGTCACGGAGGGGCCGAGCAGAGGGAGGATCTGAAAAACCAGGAGCCGCCAGACGGTTTCGGGTCGGCGGCCGCCAAGGGGGCCAGCCCCAGCTCAGCGCACACAGCTGGGCCTCTGATTCACCCTGCCGCCAGCGCGTCCCAGGCCCCTTCCCTCCACCCCTCCCCTCCCATCTCCCAGCCCCTCAGGGCTTGCCCTGTGTGGGACAAGGGGGTGTCCTGGTTTCTCTCCCCCTGGTGGGTGCCGCTGCCTCCTGTCTGGGGAACCAGCCTACCACTTGGAGGAAGCAGCTAACTTACTTGGGTCTGCCTCACCTGGGCCGCCTCATGGTCCATCTCACCTGGGCCCCCTCACCTGGGCCACCTCACCTGGGCCCGCCTCATGGTCCATCTCACCTGGGCCCCCTCACCTGGGCCACCTCACCTGGGCCGCCTCATGGTCCATCTCACCTGGGCCCCCTCACCTGGGCCACCTCACCTGGGCCGCCTCATGGTCCATCTCACCTGGGCCACCTCACCTGGGCCGCCTCATGGTCCATCTCACCTGGGCCCCCTCACCTGGGCCACCTCACCTGGGCCCGCCTCATGGTCCAGCTCACCTGGGCCGCCTCACGTGGGCGTGCCTCACCTGGGTCCGCCTCGTGGTCCAGCTCACCTGGGCCGCCTCACCTGGGCCTGCCTCATCTGGGCCCAGCTCACTGGCCTTTCTGGTATTTGCTTTGCAGTACTGGAATGTTCTTGCTGCTGCTCGGCGTCCTGCGGGCTGGTAAGTACAGGCACTGGGGAGCGGGCACCACCTCCACCTGCACATCCCATCCTGCCATGGGGCCTGAGGTCTAACAGCTGCCAGCTTCCGGCAGAGCTGGGTCCAGACGGTGGCCCTCCCACAGCCGAGCAGTGGTCCCAGGCCACTCCCGAGGGCTTTTCTGAGTCCAGACAGCTAAAGGTCCTGTACCGCACACTGGTTTTCACTTTCATGTTCATTAGGCCAGCCTCTCCCCGCCAGCCTGGCAGTGCCGCTGGCTCCGCCCTGCTCTCGCTGTGGCCCGAGCAGCTCCCTGGGCCGGAGCCGGCCTGGGAGGATGAGCCGCCCGCATGTGGCCCTTGCAGATGTCCAGGAGGAGAAGGTGCGCGCCATGGTGGGCAGCAAGGTGCAGCTGGGCTGCCTGGGCCCCGAGGGCAGCAGCTTCAACCTGAGTGACCTCATGGTGTACTGGCAAGTCAGCGGCTCCAAGACGGTGGTCGCGTACTACTTCCCGGAGAACAGCTCGGCCGTGCACCAGGACAGCCGCTACCGCAACCGCGCCCACCTCTCGCCCGCCGCCATGAAGCAGGGCGACTTCTCCCTGCACCTGTTCAACGTCACGCCGCAGGACGCACAGACATTCCACTGTCTGGTGTTCTGCAAGACCACGCTGGAGGAGGTTCTGAAGGTGGTGGTGACGTTGCACGTGGCCGGTGAGATGCCCTGGAGACCCCCGCCACCCGCTGCCCTCTGTTCCCTGGGGAAGGGCTCCTCGCCTGAGCATTAGGCCTCTATGGGCCCTGGAGCCTGATGGAAGGAGTTGAGGCAGGACTGAGGTTCAGGCAGAGAGCGGGAGGTGCCAGGGAGTGGAGGGCATGCCTCACGGGGTATCAGCTTATGCCCAGCGCTGGGGCCGGCCACGTTGGTTCTCAGTGGGGGACTGGCACCACCCGGCTGGATCAGCCGCATCCCCTCCCTCCCGCCTGGATTCTGGCATCAGCGTCAGAGGCTGGACAGCCCTGCATGGCAGCCAAGTCCCAGGCCTTGCTGACCGCCCACTTCCTCCACCCAGCCAACTACAGCATGCCCGTGGTCAGCTCGCCCGGCGCCGTGCCCCAGGGCTCGGAACTCACCTTCACATGCACATCCACCAACGGCTACCCCGCGCCCAGAGTCTACTGGATCAACAGGACGGACAGCAGCCTGCTGGACGAGGCCCTGCAGAACAACACCGTGTCCCTGAACGCGCGTGGCCTGTACGACGTGGTCAGCGTGCTGACGGTGCCCCACAGCCCACACGTGGATGTCGGCTGCTGCATCGAGAACGCTCTCCTCCGTCAGAACCTCACGGTTGGCAGCCAGCCAGGTGGGAGTCCTGTCCCTGAGCCTGAGGGTTCCGTCCCAGGCACCTGCTGGGCCATGGGGCAGGCATCCACCCCCTGGACATGGGGTCCAGCCTGTGACTCAGTGTGGCCCCTGCCCTGCTGACTGCACTGCCAGCCTGCCAGCTCGGACACCTGAAGGTGTTCCCAGGGGCCTGCAATGTCCCACACCCAGGAACCAGGACCGGGAGTGGGCCCAGGAAGCTGTCCTCCAAGGCCCTGGCTGGGTGTGGCCAGCAGCCCCTCCCCGGCGTCTGTGGGAAGCCCTGGGATTGCTGTTGAGCCCCGCACCCTGACCACTCTGGGTGCTGGACACACCACGACCGTGTCCTCCGCAGGGGATCCCCTAGAAGGGTCCCAAGTCAGGGCCCACATACTTGTGAGAGCCCACATGTGGGAAGCAGACACGGCGGGATCAGGGTTGGCTGCTGTGGGCATGGAGAGGGGCTCAGGCCAGATGCCTGGGCACACCATGCTCGGAGACTCGAGGTAGCACCTGAGGAGGGACCAGCAGGTGCCCAGGGGCATGGCGGTGAGAAACTTCTGGAACAAGACCATGGGTGTGGATATTCATGTCGGGCTGTGGGAGTGCTGGACCTCTCTGGGGGTGCTCAGGGCTGGGACACACACCCAGCTGGGAGCACGATGGCATCAGGGGCCCTGGAGCTGCCCGGGCAGTGCCCAGCCTGGAGTAAGGCAGTATGTGCCTAAGGCCCCCTGAGCCCCAGGCTGTCCTCGCTTCTTACAGAATCTATCGTGGGAGTTGCAGACAGGATCACGGAGCACCCAGCCAGCCCCACAGAGGAGAGGGGTTCCAGCGTGCTTGTCATCCTTGCCGTGCTGTGCGTGGTTGCGGCCGTGGCCGTGGGCTGGGTGTGCAGGAGCCGGTGTCCCCGTGGCTACGCAGGTAGGATGGCCCACGTGGGTCTTGTCTGCTGGAACTTGCCCCCTCTGCACGTGCGACTTCTGCGGGAGCCGCCGCACTGTGTGGGCGTGAGCAGCCCCAGCACCTGCTGGGTGCCAGGTCTAGGGGCAGCCAGGCCAGTAGAGAGCTGGGAGAAGCTGAGTCCAGCTCCGTGGGCATGCTGCGATCTGAGGGGCCAGGCTGGCTGGCTGGCCGGCCATCATCTGTCAGCTCTCCGTCCTCTCTGGCTGGTCTGCGAGGCCAGAATTCATGTTCCTACTGTGTGAGGTGGAGCACCACAGTCCACTGGCCTGTGTCCCCGTGTGGACGCCTGGGAGGGCTCCCTTGGTGGGCCCCGTGGAAAGGCAGAGGTGGGGCTGGGGCGCCAGAGTCCTGGCTGCAGGAGCCAGCCCCTGTGTCCCAGTGCTGCCTGCCCTGCTGGGGCCCCGGGTCCAGGATGCGGGATGCTGGGATGCCTGCACGCAGTGTGGGTGCCCTGAGCTCAGAACCGCTGGGGTCTTCAGGGCTCCCCAACCTCTTGAACCCGCTGGTTTGTCCTGCAGGTGCCCAGGTCGTGACAGCTCTGCATCAGCTTCCAGGTGAGTCTAAAGTTATTGCTCCTGCCAACCCATGACAGCCCCATGGCCTCTCTGACACGCCGGGGGAGGGGGTCCCTGAGACCCCACACCTGCCCCTGCCTGGCTGCAGCTCTCCCGAGCGAGGGGCTCCCCGCCCTGGCAGCCTGCTTCGTGCAGAGCTCCAGCCCCGAGGTTCCCCAGCAGCTCAGCTCACCCGGCCCATGCCTCGCTAGGTCTGACACCCCTCCCGCTCCCCTCACCCCTTCTCCTCTTTCGTCTCAAGACCGCGCTTGACTGGACACCAACCAGGACCCGGACGGCGTTGGTCAGATGTTCTTGTCGGACAGTGACGGCTGCTTTAGAAGGGACTGGCACGGGACAGGTGGCAGAGAGGACCTCAGATGCTTTCTCCCTGTGAGCTGTGAGCACCACCAGAAGCTCATGGTGCCCCCTGATGAGGGCACCCCACTGCCAGCTGAAGGCGCCTCGCAGCGTGCTCGCCTGCACCGAGCCATGCCCCTTCTCGGCCCTGTTGGCCTCCAAGAGGCACCGGATTCTGAACTGCTCCAAGATGCTTTGTGCACAGGCCAAGTGGGGTCGCCGCCGTCCCCTGGGATGGGTCCGTACCACCCTGAGGGCGCCTGGCTGTCCTGCTGGCCACCCCCGTCCACTCACGCACAAGCACATGTGTGTGGAAGCAGGAGACACTCAACATGGACGGCATAGCTCCCCCACGTGGGTCCATGGGGACCCCGTGAGCGGTCCCCCACATGCAGATGGCATTAGAAAGTCAGGCTACAGCCACCCTGGGACAGAGGCCGAGGCCTCCGTGCCTCCCTCCCCCGCGTGGAGGCACACTGCCTTGGGCGTGTGCGTCCTTTGGCTTGGAGGCCTGAGCCCATCCGGTCCCTAGTGGATGCTGCCTGTCCCCTCGAGAGGCAGGGTCTGGTGTTCTCAGGGTGAGGACAGTGGCAGAAGCTGTGGCTCAGACCTGGCCCCCTGGGGTGTCCCCCTGGAATGTGGCTGTCAGGGATATGCCACATCAGCCATAGTGGCCAGAACTCATGCCCTCAGGGCTGTCCCCCTGCGGGTCCCTGGGGGTCCTGGCAGGGGACTGGTGACTGCCACCAGGGCCCAGGTCCTGCCCGCTTCCTCCCTTGGGGTCTCCCTCACACTGCGACCCTGGGAGGTGCTGCCACCCACAGCTGTCTGTCGCCCCCTCACCACACCCCATAGGTGTCCCCCGGCTCAGCCAGTAAGACAGCTGTGGCCCTGGCACCATGCTGAATACAGGCCATGGGCAGTGAGCATGCTGGGGACAGAAGATGTGACCCTGGCGGTGTGGCCTGGAGAAGCACCACTGGCCAGGCCGGGGCGCCTTGAGGGAAGCTGACCCCTGTCCTGCGTCAGTGGCCCCTCCCTCCTGCCCTGGCTCTCTGGTCTTGGTGAGTGCCCAGCACCAAGGAGCCTGTGCCAGGTTGCACTGCCCTAGGCCAGCAAGGACGCTTGGGGGTGCAGCTGTGGCTCACACCCTGGGGAAAAGGTGTCCCAATGGCCCCGTGCACTGGCACAGGCCTGGCCCCTCCCAGCCTCACCGGCCGTGTCTGACCAAGTGCTGCCGCCCCATGGCTCTGCAACAGCTGGGTCCGGGTGTCTGGACACACAGCCTTGGTCTTGGGGCTGTGAAGTGCCCAGGCCAGTTCCTGGCCATGTCCTGCCTCCAGCCTGCCCCTGCCGTGTCTGGTCACTGTCCCACAGGGCCAGAGTGGGTCAGACGAGGCCCCTGGTGTTCCATCCGACATCACCACGGAGGCTGGGAATCCTTCATATGTAACAGGCTGTTATTTGTTTTTTGTCTTTTTTAAACAATGTTGTTTTTGTTAAAAATTGGTTGATTTATTTGGAAGCCTTCACTTGGAGGGATTCCTTCCTCCGGCTCACCCCCCAGATGGCCGGGCCAGAGCCGTTTCACCTGGAGCTCGTCTCGGCCTCCCAGGTGGGGGCAAGCACAGGCACGTTGGCAGGGAGAGAAGTGGAGAGCTGGGACTCAAACCGGTGCCCAGTGTCACCAGCAGTGGCTTTACCTGCTATGCCATGATGCTGGCCCCAGTAGGCTAGTTTTAAAGTGGAAATTTTGTGTGGCGCTCGACTGATGGCGAGAGCCAGTGGCCCTAGAACAAAGGTCGTCACCACTGTGACAAGAGCTAGAGCCTGCTTGTCCCCATGCCCACCGTCAGGTGGATCTTCAGTCCTCCCACCCCACGGCCCATTGGGGAGTGTGGCCACGCCCTGAGCTTGGGTATCCTGGTGTGCCCTTACTGCCCGCCATCACTCCTAATCAAGCACTACCACCAGGCCTGGTGGTGGCTGGGAGCCGGGGCTGCACCTCCAAGACTCTCAGCAGCTCTGGCCTCCCCCACCTCCGAGCCTTCCCACCTCCGAGCCTCCCCCACTCTGAGCCTCCCCCACCTCCGAGCCTCCCCCACTTCCGAGCCTCCCCCACTTCCGAGCCTCCCCCGCCTCTGAGCCTCCCCTGCCTCCGAGCCTCCCCCACTCTGAGCCTCCCCTGCCTCCGAGCCTCCCCCACCTCCGAGCCTCCCCCGCCTCCGAGTCTCCCCTGCCTCCGAGCCTTCTCTCCCCCCCCCCATGGTCAACTGGACAGGTGTGGGGTGGAAGGGGAGGCCATGGGGGGCTGCAGGGGGCTGGGCGTGAGACTCAGAGGACCAAGAATGACGGGCGCCTTAGGAGCTCACAGGCTGCAGCAGCCACGCTGCCCTCGGAGGAGCAGCCTGGGCCCGAGTGCCGCAGAGATGGAGATGGGCCAGACCTTCATTAAATCGCTTTCTGAACTCCCGGAGTTGGCTCCTTCATGGAGCCCAGACGGACTCAGACTCCTGTGTTTCTCAGGAGTGAGGTATGGCCGCGCCTGCTGGTCCACACCCACAGTGCGTGGGAAAGGTGCTGTTTCCCGCGGCGCCATGCAGGGGTGCGGACGCAGTGCCGAGCGGGCATGAGGCACACCGTGGCGGCACGCAGGGGGCACTGTTGTCTGGTGAACCTGGTCTGCATGGAGCGCAGTCGCCATGGCAGCTCTGAGGGCAAGGAAACCAGGTCAGGGGGCCCCGGCGCGGCCCCCCCCCAGGAACGTGGGGTGGGGGTTGGGCAAGGCCCAGGCACAACATGTCACCACAGACGTGCATGATGGGAAAGAGCATACCCCCGAGGGCTTGCAGCCATGTGGTCCCTGGGCCTCAGCATGGCCAGGAGGAGGTGGCCACCCACCTGCCAGGGTGTTGGACCTCAGCCCCCGCCTCAGCTTCCCCAGGGAGCCATTGTGGCTGCCCAGGACATGGGCCCTCCGCCCCAAATCCAGCTTTGGGAGTCAGCAGGGCATGGTGCTGATACTGAGGTCCCTGCCACTCACATGAAGCTGCCGGCATCCACGTGGCCCAGCCATGGGCGCCATGGGCATCTGGGGAGTGAACCAGGAGAAGAGACCACTGCGGGTCGCCAGTGTATCTATCCGCCTTTCACTAGAAAATGAAAATTATGTGACACTACATCCCTCAGTGATGGAACAAATTCAGTAATTCTCTGACCTCCATGTGATAGTGAGCAGTGAACAAGAGTGTGCCGTAGATGGCTGGATGCAGAGCACGGGCAGGCAGGGCTGGGCAGGGCTGGCTGGGCAGGGCTGGCTGGGCAGGCAGGGCTGGGCAGGCAGGGCTGGGCAGGGCTGGCTGGGCTGGGCAGGGCTGGGCAGGGCTGGCTGGGCAGGGCTGGGCTGGGCTGGGCAGGGCAGGGCAGGGTTGGGCAGGGCTGGGCAGGCAGGGCTGGGCTGGGCTGGGCTGGGCAGGGTAGGGCTGGGCAGGGCAGGGCAGGGTTGGGCAGGGTTGGGCTGGGCTGGGCTGGGCTCAGCTGGGCAGAGTGGGCAGGGCTGGGCCATGCCCCAGCTATGCTCAGCAGAAGGCCTCCAGGCCCCTGTGGTGTGGGTTTCTTTTATACCCAGAGACTCTTGATGAAAGCTTGGCTAGGCGTGGCTGAAGGAGGGTGGCCTGAAGCCAGGGGACAGCAGCTGACCTACTGGCCAGGCCAGAGGTCTCATAGTCCCTGCTGCATGAAACCCAGTTTCTGAGAGGGTCTGGGCTTTGGGGGCAGGGCACAGTGGCTATTCCCCAATGGGTGCCAGCCCCCAGGACGGTCCTCCACAGAGAAATCCCCCAACCACATCAGCTAGAAACACAGGAAGGCAAGGAGCTGTCGGTTACAAGCTAGTCAGTCCCCCAGCTTCCTGTCTGTTGCCAGGGCCTGGAGGAGGAAGTGCCCACCCTCCCCAGGCCCACCTGCACCCCTCCCCCTCCCCATGTGCCCACAGGGGTCTCGGGGAAGCATGGCAGCCATGGTGAGGGCTGGACCTTGGCTTCTCGGTGGCCTGAGTGGCAGGGGCTTGGGACAGGGTGGGTCGGCGCCATGCGGAAGTGATGGAATGCGAGGAGAATGTGAAGTCCCACACTCTGCGGCGGGGAGGAGACAGTCTCCCCACGCAGCTTCCCGGCCGACTCCAGCTGCTGCTCCACCCCGGGTGGCTGGGGGAGGCGGGTGTGGACCTCACACTGTGTTCCCAGCATCCTCTGGGTCCGGCACGGTGAAGTCAAGGCTGGGGGTGTGGACAGAGTGCAGCATCCTTCCTGGACGCTCGCCAGGTCCTGCTGACCCAGGCTGGGGTCTGTCTGCAGTGAGGCCATGAGCCATACAAACATGCCAGCCGCCAGGGGAGGAGAGGGGGCAGGCATAGTGCAGCCTCCCTGTGAATGTGTCCATAGCTGAGCCACAGAGGCTGTGGTAAGGAGGTGGGGTGTCTTGCATTTGGCCCGTTCTGCAGCCATCTTGCACCCTGACTTCTGTCTCTGCAGTGCAGAACAGGGAGGGGGAGGGGATGCCGGGACCAGGGTCCCTGTGCGGGAGGGCCAGGTGCGGCCTCTCTCCCCTGGGCCTGGGGTTGCTCTGCTCTGCTGCCCCGGGCTGCCCAATTTAGCTGCACGTGCATGGGGAGGCAGGGCTCAGCGGACACTCGGCACACCTGCCTCATGCCCTTGCCACTCTGCGCACGCCTTCCACATCCAGAGAGCCAGGCCAGCCTCTCGCTGCCGGCTCCACACGGGGCCTCCCTGGGCTGCCTGGGAGCCTCAGGACCACGGTCTCAGGTTGGAATCCATAGGACGCTGGTCAGTCCCAATGTGGGCCACAGGAGAGCAGGCTGCTGGACCCAGCAGCGCCCCTGAGCACCACATGCCCCAGGGCTCCCCGAACCTGAGTGCACCTGCCAAGCCCGGGCCCTCTGGGCCTGCGGTCCAGCCGTTGCTGTGTGTGTAGGGGGTTTCCGTCACCCTAACGGTTTCTGTGTCCAACAGTGTCAGGTATGTCTGTGAGGCCAGCGCCTATGGCCATTCCCCACCTCCCTCTGCGCCGTCCACTTCCACTCTTCCCTGTCCCCACCCTGGGAATATCCAGCAGGTAACAGGAACAGGTTGGGGTACAGTGTCCAGAGGAGCAAGGCAGTGTGGCTGAGACCAAGCTTCTGCAGAGCAGGCTGAGGGAAGCTTCCTGACCCACGAAGGTGTCGAGAAAGTGGACTTGTCCACACGATGGTCCCAGACCCTGCCCTTCCTCCCCCTCCCTCACTGACTGATCTGTGCACTCATTCATTCATTCATTCACTCACCTGCCCATTCACTCATTCATTCATTCACTGAGTGACACCTTCACGCATGAGCGTCCAATCTGCTAGCCCCTTGCCCATGTCCCAGTGTGGGCAGTGTCTGATGTATCTGACCCCACAGCCCAGTGTGGGACCACCCTGTCTGTTGTGTCTGACACCAGAGTCCACTGCGGGCACTCTGTATTACTTAAGACCCATCAGGGGGTGTTGTTTGTCATATCAGCGTGGTATTATGTATGGTGAGTATGCAAGGCTGTGTGTAGGTGAGCGTGCAGGGCTGTGTGTAGGTGAGCGTGCAGGACTGTGTGTGTAGGTGAGTGTGCAAGGCTGTGTGTAGGTGAGTGTGCAGGGCTGTGTGTAGGTGAGTGTGCAGGGCTGTGTGTGTAGGTGAGTGTGCAGGGCTGTGTGTAGGTGAGTGTGCAGGGCTGTGTGTAGGTGAGTGTGCAGGGCTGTGTGTAGGTGAGCGTGCAGGGCTGTGTGTAGGTGAGTGTGCAGGGCTGTGTGTAGGTGAGTGTGCAGGGCTGTGTGTGTAGGTGAGCGTGCAGGGCTGTGTGTAGGTGAGTGTGCAGGGCTGTGTGTGTAGGTGAGCGTGCAGGGCTGTGTGTAGGTGAGTGTGCAGGGCTGTGTGTAGGTGAGCGTGCAGGGCTGTGTGTAGGTGAGTGTGCAGGGCTGTGTAGGTGAGTGTGCAGGGCTGTGTGTGTAGGTGAGTGTGCAGGGCTGTGTGTGTAGGTGAGCGTGCAGGGCTGTGTGTAGGTGAGTGTGCAGGGCTGTGTGTAGGTGAGCGTGCAGGGCTGTGTGTGTAGGTGAGTGTGCAGGGCTGTGTAGGTGAGTGTGCAGGGCTTGTGTAGGTGAGTGTGCAGGGCTGTGTGTGTAGGTGAGTGTGCAGGGCTGTGTGTAGGTGAGTGTGCAGGGCTGTGTGTGTAGGTGAGTGTGCAGGACTGTGTGTGTAGGTGAGTGTGCAGGGCTGTGTGTGTAGGTGAGTGTGCAGGGCTGTGTAGGTGAGTGTGCAGGGCTGTGTGTGTAGGTGAGTGTGCAGGGCTGTGTGTAGGTGAGCGTGCAGGGCTGTGTAGGTGAGTGTGCAGGGCTGTGTAGGTCTGCGGCCCCAGCACCTGGCTTGCATTGGAAGGCCACCCCCCATGCAGTGTAGCTGCTGTGGAGCAGG